ATCATGGAAGCCCTCAGAGTTGCGCTCTGTCACTACCCGATCCATCAATTGCCCAAGCGCTTTCTGCTTGTTTGTTTTTGCAAGCGGAATTACTGCTGCTTGCGGAAGACCACAGACGAAGGACGAGGTTAAGACCGGGGGAAGTACTGCCGCCTACAGGTCTGGCATGTCCATAACAACGTATTTATCTGGGTACGTGCGGACAGAGTTTGTTTTTAAAACGCGGTGGTGTGGATGCAAGTTTTTGGAGGGGCGGATATTCGTTTTTAAAAAACCCCGGCTACGTGTGGACTAGGCCTCAGTGACTGCTCCCTGTCTGTGGCACGCCCTCCCAGACCACCTCAGGGCCCCTCAAAAGGATGTTTTTTAAAAAGGGTTAAAGACCAACCTTTTTACGCTGGCCTATATTAAAATTTGCTATTGTTTTTACAATGAATTGTAATAGTCTTCTGTTATTAAGACTGCATTGTAGCGCTTTGAGAGTTGGTGTCAAATAGAAAGAGCGTTATAAATGACAGTTACTATTATTATTATTGCTATTGGACTTGAACCTGCTCACTTGAAAGTACTTAAAAGCTGGAGCTTCAATTTGAGGAAATATAACTATAGATCTCTTGGATCAAATTAAATGTGCTCATTATCCAGTAAAACAACATTTTATATATTTTGCAATGTTTTAATGATTTCTAATTATTCTATGACAAATTTAAAAAAAATGTCAAACGAGTTGATTATGACTCGGAATTCAGAGCTAACCAAAGACTTGCTCATGTCGAGGCTTGACTTGACTCGAGGCTGGAGTGGAAAAAAAAATAGAGATTTATTTTGGACCTTCAAACAATGACTCATTCCAACCTCTGGTTATTTACACGTATGAATATTGGTGTCAGCAGCTGAAACATATTACTTCTGGTCAAGCCTTGGACACTTCCTGTAGGAATATTAGTTTACCTCCAGAATGCCAGTGCAATGAGAATCTGATGCAATAGCTGTTTTCCAAACAATGGCAAAAACAAATGAGTAGTGTGAAAGGGTGAGTCCGCTGTGTTAAGTCCTCATGTTCAGCCACTCTCCATGTCATGGCTGCCATTTTTGAGGAGTAGGAGACATATGTGTTTAGTTGACAAATTTTATTTTAACGTTTTATGACAATAAACTTCAAGCTATTTGAAAGTCTGGTTAGTTCTTTTTAAACTGAGCCATATTTATAAGGAAACTGCTTTTATTGGTTGAGCAGCAGAGTTGAGTATGTGAGTTCAGGTCTTTTCTGTTTATTCTGTTATTTATTCATGTGTCTTTTACTGGATTAGATTATTTAAGTCTCATTTAGTAGTGTAATATAAGTTTCAGTGGGAGCACGGGCAGAATATCTTGTCCTCCAGTCAGAACCCAAAAACAGCACCAGTAGACAGCAACTTATCCAAAATATCCTTTATTACTGCAATCAACAATAAAACACTACGGCCGAGTTCCTTCACAATAAAATCAGTTGAACAGCATAAATAAAATCAAGCAGCGGGTACATAGCTGGCCGAGTCGATGCAACCCCCTTCCCGGGGTCTGAGCTTCCGACACCGTCCAACGCCCCGGGGTGCAGCTTGCGAGGACGGCGGGTAAGTCCACGGCTCAAGTCCGGCTGACAGAGTCTGCGGCGGCAGATGTCGGCGTGGTCTTGGCACCCAACTACTCCCAGCCCTCACTACCTAAAGAAGGCGTCAAGCCTCCTCTCCTAACGCTGGAACACTGCCCTCCTACTCAGCTATCTTCATTGCCAGCAGTCCTAACCAACTGCAAACGATCCCACCCCCCAGAACCGGGTGCCACAATGACAGGTCGACCACACACACACCTTGGTAGATCTGCCACCCTTTTCTCCTCTCCAGCCTCATTACGTGTAACAAGGACCAGCCGGCGTCCAGTCGCCACGCCCCCAGAATCTGGCAACTCCCGTCTTCTGTCTTCCACAGTAGCATTCTGGTCACTAGCTTGAAGTTGCCTTATGCAACAGCCCTATCCAGACTTGGTTTATGTGTGTGACACAGGGTCCACACACGATAGTCTACTCTTACCCATCCTTTCCACTGCACATGAGAGCATCGTGAAACAGCCACAAAACATACTACGCTGCAATTATCCACCATTATAGCGGATGAGTTCCTTTCCACCACCAGCTAAGTGTGACGTTTTGGATGTGCCCCAGAAAAGAGGACAAAACACATCAAACTCGGCAGTTTAGATCGAGCCAGACAGAAAGTTGAATACAAAATCAGTAGAACATTGAGAAACTTTCATAATAAAGGTACGTCATTTCCTGTGAACTTCTGTAACCGATGTAAACAACAGAAAATAACCCACAGACATTTTCCATGCATGCAGCTGTCTTTCTTCTTGTTTATTGTTGTGTGTGGACGTGTGAAATCACGAGCGGTGTTGCAATTCTCCAGTGATTTCGTCACATCACTGGATCAAGCTGTGTGGAATACTTTCACTCCCGTTTCGCATCAGAATTGCTCTCAGTTGGGAATGAGCTTGCGGGTGGAACGCCGCTATTACGTTACACAACTGCCTTCACGGCCAGGGGGTAGGGAACCAGAAGATCAAATAAACAGAAAAAATATTTTTAATTGGTACAACCCACTGTTGCCTTTTTCCTCAGCTATGTAAAACCATTTAAGGGGCAAAAAGACAACTTTCTTTCTATATATGATTTAGTGCCAAAAGCATAGTCACAGCAGACTTTTTAAGCAATGGTTTAAGTGAACCTGTAACATGTTATTTTACACCTTCCAGAGCAATGGTAGGCGCAACATATGATAAAATATTACTGCTGGCACTATTGTGATGCCATTTTTTAATGATATAAGTTATTTTTGTGACTTATTACCTACCCTGTCACCGCCCATATAAATTGAGCTGCTAACACCCAGCGTGCATGCACGCACGCACACACACACACACACACACACACACACACACACACACACACTCACACACACACGCACACCACTCAAACATAGAAAAGGCAGCTGAGATGGTGGCAGATTCCCATCATGAATGTTAGGGTTAAGGTTATAACCATTCAGCTAGCAGCCAGTGGTTAGTATTTTATTTGTACTCACAGCTCTGACTGTCCAATTAGATGGTTTTAACGTTGGAATGGCGATGGATTGAAGAAGTAATCATCTGAAAACCGGTAATGGTAGAGATTTACAAAGCAGAAATCACAGTCACATTCTGGTTCAGGATTTGAGAGCTCCTGAAGATAAAGTCCAAGCATTTTTGCCAATTCTTCAGAAAGACTGGGCAGGGATCCTGTTCTTCTTGCAAACAAAAAGTCAATTTTTGTTTTCCAGACATCATTCAAAATGCAGACAAAATAAGAAAGAAATAACTTATTTACTGTGGAGATTTAACTCCCTGCTAGCTACACGGATATACTGGGCATTAGTGTTTACAGTCCAGGGGAGGAGGGATCTTGAATATCTGGATGGGGAGGTGCAGATCATGATGATGCAGCAACAACCCCTTCTAAATGTCAGCAGCCTGCTTGGCAGACAGCATATGATTTGCAGCTGAGACAGAAAAATGCATGCGTGAAATAAAAAATGAGGAAAGAAGTTACAGTGTGTAATTTTTACCATTCATCTCTAGAAATATTCATCAAAATGTTGTTAAAGAATTAAATCATGTCCAGTTTTTGAAAAAAATTGGCAGTTTCATAACATATAACATTAAAAATCTGTTCTAAAATACATGGGAGCGGGTCTAAGTCTCTGGACGATGCCATATTGGATTCCATGTTTCTTTATACGGAAGCCTGTGAGGACAAAATGCATTAACTGATTTGTAAGAAACGGTTACAAAACTTTCACCATTAATAAACATTGTGGTTTTACACATTTACCTTTTCGCTTATTGCCAGTGATGAAAGGGAATCTGATGTTTTTGTTATTTTGCTGGTGGTTGCACTCCCAGGGATTGTTGACCCTTATGGCCATCCGTTGGAAAGGTCTTATTTAAACTCAAAAATAATGCTTGATTGCTTGCAATGGTTTAGGTATTCACTGCCCCTATTGCCAGGGAAACTACACATTGTCACTTTAACATTGTCAAAACTTCCAAAAAGGGGATTTTGCATGATATAGGACCTTTAATTTTTTTGTGCTCTTTGAGTGTGCAGTTAATTGTAACTGTAACTTTTTCTGCCTTTTGGCTGGGACTCCCTTAAAAATGAGGTTTTTAATGTCAGTGGGACCTTCCTGGTTAAATAAAGAATAAATAAAAAATAAAACGGGAAACCTATGTTTCATTGATATTGTGATTTGAGTATACTTGCATTATAATAAAAAGTCCTAATAGTCAATACACCAGTCCACCTTTGCAGCTTTGAAACCTTCATTTTGTATTTTTTCATGGGTAATTGAGTATCTCATCTAAAATGCTGACATACCCTCCCTTTATCTTCCCCGTTTTTTATCTATTTAATTGTGTTATTAAAAAAACTTTTTCTGCTTGTTCATTAACTTAAAAAGGTAGCACCTCTCGGTGAAAACAGAAAGTCATTTAACAACAATAAACCTGCAGCACACTCTGCCATTCCTCTGAGAAGAGGCTTAAGCAGCAGGTCTGACATCCACCGTATGGATGATTAGCATCATTAGAGCATCAGCTGCTCCCTCTTACTGAGACACACACTTTCCATGATGGCTCTTCAGATACCTAACACTTAGACAGATTAAACAGGGCCGTGTTCCAGGTGAAGTAGTAATGCCTGAATAATTAGAAGTAGGTCAGGTGAGTGGAAAGCAGTCTAAAGCCATCCGAACTGGAAAATGCAACATGTAAAACATCAAATGATTTAATTTGGTTCATGTTTTATTGGTTGGTTGAAAATGGTATGTAGGGATATTTAGACATCTGCATCGCTCTTTTGTAGATGGCTTGTCTATATTTTTATTATTTTCCTCCAGATTTTAAGTAACGTCTGCTTTCCTTTCCAGCTCCTTTGACTGACAAGCCACCGAAGATCCTCTTTCCCACGGAAAACAAGATAAGCAACATGGAGCTGCAGCTAGGTAAGATCATCACGGGATTTCCTCCTGCTGCTGTCAGTCGTGTTGGAGTTGTTTCCAAATGACAGGAAATGGATGGCTCTACAAATGGTCTCCAGCACACCTCCAGGCGTTGCATGCAGATCATTGATGGCACTTTATTGGCTGGAGAGATAGCGAGAAGAAAAACAATTGCAAAAGTGGTTCCCACATATGCAAATCATGGGTGTTAATATCCCTGAGGCAGTTTCTTCAACAATGGAGAGCCCATATGGTGCCAGGGTTCCATACACTGGCTCGCCACATTGAGAGGCGGCCGCTTTCTGTTGCCGTTGTTTGTCTCTTTTGACGTGGGGTCACAATGGGACTTCCACGTGGGAATGCATGCAGAAGAGAGTAGACGCAAATGGTTTGTTTGTTTTGTTTTGTTTTTTCTGTGACAGCATATTGCTCGAGTTCTGGGCACAGTTCGCTGTCCACATGGCGCTCGCCGCTCTGTGAATGGCTAATGTGTCTGTCATGGTGAAGCCAATCAGACAAGACTGAGAGGTCTGGAAAAACAGAAGGCTGCAAGAGTTTGTGACAGAAAGAAAGGTATGGAGACAAAGGGAAAGAAGGTCCAATAATTTACTGAGTGCTCACCTTTTGTCTTTTATCTGATGCAGCTGGAATGCAGGTAGTTCATTTGGAATGCCTCCACGGTTGGCTCATCAAGGGTGAAAAATTGCTGCTGTTGACAAACTGACAGCCTCAGCTTCACGTGTCAGCCTACCCACACCCATGCATAAACAGGGTGCACAATGTGGGCCCTTAAGCTGTTTGTGTCATTTGTCTCTATCTTTATTCCTCTGAGATTTTCAGGAAAGCCCCCCCCCCCCCCCCCCCCCCCCCCCCCCGGAACCGTTTCACAATTGTTTAAACTTTTATTGTTAGCTCTTTCTTCTATCTGCTGCGTGATTAACGATGTGTTCCTTATCCTGTGGTGGTGTGCTCGGTTGTGAATACGTGGGTGATGAATGGCAGGTGCACTTTCATAAGATTTGAATGTTTGTGAGAATAGTCTGAATGACAAAAGCATCTAACGTGCAGATAACAGAGTTCTCACACTGCTGATGGTGAAAGGACCGAGAGACCAACAGAGGTACAAAGCAAAACATTCCTCTTAACATTTAAAAACAACGGTTTTTATTACTTTACAAAAATAAAGAAAACGCTGGATAGTTGCAGCACCTCAAGGATATTTCAGACCAGAGTTAGTTCAGACGGATGTCTGCATTCTCTGGATGTTCTCAAACTTTCTGAAATTCCTAAACCAAGAAAAAAGACAAGATTCACCAGGCAGAGAAAACGTGACAAAGATGATATTATATTTTCTAGAAAAGTTATGGAAATACCATACCATACCAAGTTTATTTGTTTAGCACATGTAAACACGGCATGAGAGCCGACCAAAGTGCTGAACAAAAACACGCAATAAAAACAATCAAAAATAAAAACTAAATCAATTAAAATCGAGTAATTCAAATCGAAAAGAAAAGCCAATGAATAAAAGTCAGTTTTTAAACGTGACTTAAAAAGGGAAAGAGAGGAAGAGAGTCTGATCAGGAGGGGCAAGTGGTTCCAGAGCTTCAGTGCACAAACTGAAAAGGCGCGCTCCCCGCGGGATTTACAGCGGGAGTAGGGACATGGAAAAGGTGCTGGTCAGCTGATCGGAGGGATCTTGTAGGGACATAAGGGTGAATGAGCTCAGACAAGTAGCCAGGTGTTAAGTTATTGAGGGATTAAACACAAAAACCAGGATCTTAAACTGTATCCGGAGATGGATGGGGAGCCAATGGAGATTTGCTAAAACTGGTGTGATGTGTTCTCGCTGCCTGGTGCCAGTCAAGAATCGAGCTGCTGCGTTCTGCACAAGCTGAAGGCGGGCGAGAGTGGAGGAGGAGATACCATATAGCACTGAGTTGGAGTAGTCGAGACGGGAAGTAATGAAGGCATGAACAACTGAATGGAGATGACGCCTTTTTAAAATGGGCTTAACTTTAGAGAGACGCCTCAGGTGGTAAAAACAGGTCTTAACTACCTGGCTGACATGAATGTCCATTTTTAGGACATTCTAGGACATTCTTTTTTAGGAAATGTTTTCTTTTAAAGACACCATTAGGCCAGATAGCGGCCCTTTAGTGTTTATTGTGAATGATGTCAAAGTTAGACGTCCACAACAAAAAAAAGGAAAAAAATTTCAAGGGAACAAACTATGCAAAAATGACTTTTTGCATGTTTTTGTGCTGCCATGTGGGTCTCTACTACCTTTAAAGAGACTCGAAACCAATAAGAACCATCTATTATCTGTCAGTGTTTGGTTTTAGGAACCATGTGTCCACAACGACACGTTTCAAATCATCCCTTTTGTGTTGTCACAAAATGGGAAAATTGCATAGAATCACTTGTTGAGTCCCTACCCAACAAAGGTTTTGAGGATTCGACATTTTCCTTTGCAAACAAGGAGGGACGAAGCTTCTTGAGATTTACGTGCTTTTAAACAAGCTATTAAAGGGGAACCAGGTGGTTTGGCTTGCTTTAACCACCCCTTAGTGTCCGTTTGCAGAACCAATGTCTCCCCAGCCTTCGTTAGTGTCTACAGGAGTGATTATCACTAAATTAAACAAACAAGCTGTGTACATGTTCTGAAACATGCAGGAGACATGCTGGAACCCAACTGCGGCACCAGGTATATCAGATCAATTTTGAGTGTCCCAACAGAGCAGACTGGCCATTCAGAAGTTGCAAGTTAAAGAGGGACTGCACACCATCAGGAAATGTAACTCCACCCCTAAGATTTGAAAAATGCCATGAAAGTGGGTGTTGCCAGGAGACACAGAGTGGCATGGCCAAGTGTGGGGAATTTCCATCCTGGGAGGGAGGGGGAGTGGGAGGAGACTGTAGAGATGACATGAAATTGTTCCAGCCACAGTCAATCACAAGATTAAAATGCAGTAGCCGCTGTTCTGCCACAGGGGGCAGCACTAAGACGTTTACACAAACATGTCAAAAAATGCACAGAAACAGAAAGATTGCATTTGTAAAGACCCAATTTTACAGTTAATTTGCAAAAAAAAAATGTTATTTTAGGGTTTACTTACTCTTTAAGTATTCCGGCCACCGGGGCGATAAGGGCCAGCTGTCCCTTCATTAACCCTGTAAAGGGTCATTTTAGCACAAACTGGCTCAAGAAATTGATTTCAAAATATGGAAAAGTTTCAAAGTATCTCTTTGCACTCACACATGGGAAACCTATGGATGTGCTTTAACTACAACACTGTTGGTAGAGAAAACAGGGATGTGACTTGCAAATTCCCATTTTGTGGTTAGGAACCCAACCTATCAGGGGATGGGTTGGCGTGGCCAACCACAGCGTGTAGTGACACAGCCCTAAAATGGCTCATTGTGTAAGGTACTGAAAATGGTTTTGTGCAAATAACTTCATGAATGTGCTTTGTACACTGCAATACATTCAAATCATTACTCTATAACAAGTGACTGGTAGCATGTAGAATTAGATGAATTAAAGCAGAAATTGTTCTCCCGTCGGTGAAGAGAAATCGTCTGAGAAAGCTGCTTCAAGGATTTTATTACTACAGATTTTGGACAAAATCAAGCTCATCAGGCTTGAGAGGTGCAAAACTCCGCCAAGAAACACAAATGAGGACAAGCATGACCTTCGCACAAAGACACACCAAAAAGAGAAATGCGTCCAGTATCAAGAGTTTCCAAAGTACCTCTACACAAAAGATCGGTCCATTTCATAAATAGGTCCTGTGGACTTCAAACAGCAAAGAGCTGTTATTTTGAAAAGAAAAGCTCTCAAACTCTTAAGCACTTGGCTTACCCAGTCATGCTGTGGGCTTTTGTTACAGATGAACATTTCACCAAGAGAAGGAAGAAAGGATTAAATTAAGAGCTTGCAAACCCAGAAACCAGACATCAGTCTGAAAATCTGAAGCAAAATGGCTTCCACAGGGAGATAATTATCTTAAGCACGTGTGAAAAATCAACAAATGTGACATTGACCTATCAAAAAACTATGGCTGAACCTTAAAAAAAACATTGGTGTCTCCTAAAAGGATGTATTTTTAAACTTCGTTGCATATTGTCTGAAGTTTGGTGTCTCTTTAAGCTCGAGGTAATCCCGAAGATGTGACTTGGGTCGTTTTAGAAAAGCTATTCCACAGCCATGTTGGACATGACCGACTGTTTACACGGGCTAAGTAGCACAAGTTGTTCCTAATAGTTTGCTGCAGAGCCAGAGACGGACCCTCCCATCAGCAGCAGTGAAAAAAACGGAAAGTGTGCTGTTTTCTGCAGTGAGCTCCCGCAGACTCCCAGCAGAGTCCAAAGCACTCTTAGGTAAACATTTTAAAATAGGGATTTGTTTTGTGTGCAGACATGTTGTCTCTCCTTCCAAATTAAGGGGTCTCTTCTTTAGTTGTATATTTGTTATATTCTTCCTAATATTTGTTGAGGCATGACCTAAGCAGCTTTATGGAGTGATGTGGCAGATTTATAGCAACCCAAATGTCCATAGAAAGATGTCTGTCCCTAACAGTTTGGAGGGGGGGGGGGGGGGGGGGGGGGATAAAGACATGGTATCCAGTTGATGCTGGCCGGGCAATAAAATCAGAGCCTTAAGCGGAGAGATAAATCAGCAACAGTGCCAGGAAACACAGAGCATCTTTATCTCCTCCACTGCTGTAACCAGTGCAGGTCTCAGACAGCCTCCATCTTAGCTAACTTTACACACACACACACACACACACACACACACACACACACACACACACACACACACACACACACACACACACACACACACACACACACGCACACACACACACACACACGTAAATCAAATGCTTATGTTACATAATGTCTCACAGAAGACACTCAGCAGGGGGCTAGGATGAAAAGTCAACAGGAATGCTGCAAAGATTTTACCACAAAATGGGCACGAGAAGGAAAAAATGAGA